CTTTTGGTACTTGCCCTTGCTAACCGGTTCTTTCGGGATCCACTTGTGAGCGTGCCTGCCTCCAGCTATCTCCGTAAGCATTTTTGTTGCCTTTTCCCCCAAGGAATCATATACAACATTTGCTTTTGCTAATATGGTCCTTTTACTTCACTACAATCCATATCCCATCTTCTCAAAAGTTCTTTCTCATGTCTATTTCGAGGGTTTGAAATGGTTAGCTCCGGTTAAAACGGATCGTTCATAACTTGATCCTTAACCGTCTCGATTTTGGGATCTGCAAACTGTAATCATGTCTTTGATGGGCAAAGAAAACTGAATAACGGGAGAATGATGAGTTCATATGCCAATCCTTTGTTATTTGATTCATAAACTTTTGCTGCAATGCGAAGTTGAAAAAAAATGGATCAGCTTCCTGAAAATAGAATGAAATCCTTGTGTACGGTTTCATTCCTGACAAGTGGATAATTAGAATCTTTTTCCTCATTTCCTCATTTCCTCATTTCCTTGTTAGCATTTATTAAATTTGAATATGTAATCTGCAAGGAGCTAAGCTAATTACATTAGTGGAAGCAAGGAACGAAATGAAAAATCGCCTCTGAAAATTTTATGTGAAATTTGGTACGACCAAAAGTGTTGATGCTGTCATAAGTTTTAAACCACACCCTCGTCTGAACCTTATCTTCTTCAGAACTACCCCAACTATTTAATTAACTTTACTGAAACTAATGTATGCAAAGTAAATCCGCCCAACTAAAGAAATCACAGCCAAAATCTCCAACAATGGCAAACGTGGCCGTACTCTGCACTCCTAAACCCATATTCAAACAGATTCATACTATTCCAACTCTTCGTCACCCCGAAATTCCTCAGAAAACCAGGCCACGGACCCGAAAGCTGTCAACAGAGGGCTTAATTTTGAACCCGAAACCAACGATTGGCATTGTCGGGTCAGCTCTGGCCTTGGCTCTTGCGGCTTCGGCTTCGGCCTCCGAGTTGCCGCCGTTGTTGCTGGGCACTTCTTTGCAGCTCAGTGAACCCGCCAATGCCTTGTCTCTGCCCACTTGGGCCATACACGTCTCCAGTGTTGTTGAATGGTGAGGATATTTTCTTCTCTTAACTTCGGATATTTGGTTTCTTCTTCATGTGCTCTGTTTTCATGGGTACTTTGTCAATCTTGGGTCCTTTTTTTCTTAATGGGATTATCTAAGCTTAGAAAGAAAGGGATAGTCTGTGGAACAAATTAAGATTTGAAACATCATTGTTAGAGAGGCATCATAATAACTCCTTGTAAGGCTCTCACTTGATGAAACACTATTGACTATTCTGATTCCCTTTGTATCCTCTGAATTGAAATCATTGATGAGGATGCTAATGAGATTGTCTTGACAAAAGGATAACAGCAATGGCTTTGGTGTGGGAATATGGAGAGAAATCTGGGTTTGAATCATGGAAGGGTCTCTCTTGGGGTATGGTGAGTTTTTCCTCTTAATCTTGTTAGTCCGGATACTTTCTTATAGTCTACCATTGTCTAGATAAAGATAAGTTTTTTAATTGACGCATTAATCGTCTTGGAACCAGTTTTTTTGTGCTCTCATATCCATTGGTAGTTAAGTTTCTGCAATGACATTATTCTATAGCATTTTTGTTCTTTGCTCTTGTTGGGAAATCCTTACAACAGATTCATTTATCAATTACGGGGGATGGAGTCATATCTATTTATACAACTCAGTGTGATAGGTTTGAATGATATGTCATATCAAGCATCTATAGGCTAAGTTTCTACTTTTGTCTGATTTAATTATTTGTTTTAGGTACCTTTACTTGGTGGAGCATTTTGTGCATGTACATGGCATTTCTTTTACAATTCCGAATCTCTTGAGGTGAGAACCGACAAGTTACTCTGCTTTCTTATCCTTCTTTATGGAAAAATGCAAAGACTAGTTTGAATTAATTGAGATACAGTGATGAATTGGTAAAGAAACACTACAATGAAAGATTTGGCTTATATTGTCGGTTTTGTAGTTTTTGCTCCTGTATGTCCTCAATGCTTATCATGATGAACAAACAAACTTCATAAAATTTTATATTCAAAATTGTGAACCAGAGATTTAATGCATAATACTAGTGTTACTGAAACGTTGAATATAATGTTTGATAAACAAAATGACTGAACACAGAGCCTGAACTTTGGGGTTAATGAATTGGATTTTTCTAGCAAGAAATATGCTTAATAATTTCAATATGCATATTCTTATCATTACCATAAATTAGTATTAGTATCCATAAAAGTCACATTATTCATGTTATGGATGTGCTTTTGTTATGCATTCTTATATGTGTTGCCAAAAAGTATTTGCATAAGATGATCATACTCCTGCTCACTAACAATTAGACTGCTTTGCTGATGAGTGATGACTAATATTTCTAGCTTATGAGCTTGTGCGTTTGATTTGAATAGGATGAGTCTGGAAACAAAACGTCTTAAACCACTCTATTCTGCCAATAAATTGCAGGTATTGGTTGCTCTCCAGGCTGCGTTGACAGTAATAGGTAACGCCACTATGTGTTTAGCTGCATTTCGTATCTGCAAATCGTCAGATAAAAGTTCCCAGAAACAATGAAGTTTCCACTCCTATAATCCACTGAATGTGCCCAAAGGAATATTCAACATTGCACTGCTGTGTGTTATCCTTCTATTGGAAAGCTCAATTAGGCCAAGTTCCACTTGATAGCTACAACAATAGACCTTTCGCAGAAAAGAGATAGAAAGATGGAAGTTTCCCCATTGGTGACAAAATCAGATTTCACAAGGGAAAAAGTAAACATTACACTATCTAAATGTTAGGCATTTTCCTCTCATGCTTCTCTGGGAATGGCTATAAACAGCCTGAGAATAAAATGTTATCACTGTATCTATTATGAAAAACCTCTCCCTTGTTGCACCTGGTCAGTTTGTTAACCAATTGGTTTGACTTGAACCTCTCTTCTGGGATTTAAATTATAGTTTCTTGAAAAATCTTTTACTCCATTAACATGTGACAGTTATTGTCAATATATATTTCTTGTTCTCTGAGCTACTTATCTTTTATGATTTTCTTGTTGAACAATAATCATAGATTTGCTTGAAGAGTTTTAAAGGGCAATCATAGTTGAGTAATAAAAGCAAGAGATATTAATGTGATATTTTTTTTCAATGATAACGTACCATTGTACATTTCAGCATCACCGTTAATTTGATAATGACAGATGACTAAAATTGAAACCAAAATTTAACGTTAGGGATGATTATGAAAAATAAAAAATTAGGACAACAAAGTGAGACAAAGATGCAGATTACAGCCTAATAAAGAAAACATTGAAATTTCATCATTTATCTTTAATCAGGAGTTGAACAAAACATCAAGCTACAAAATCCCATGTTGCTAACATACATCCATTATCAAAGAAAGGCAAGGGTGAAATGTTTAGGGAGACTAAAAGGGATTCATCCAGGATGAAAATAATCAAGTATTTCTTAAGCTTCACCATGAATGCTTTTGTTGCATAAGAAGCAAAAGGGTGGTCGGAAAACGATCCAAATGAAGGAACTTCTTCTGGTACTCAGACATTAAAGCTAAGTTTTCTTGATGAAGAAGATTGACTTTCTTCCTCAACTTCTCATTCTCTTCAATAATGCTTTGGTTCTCCAAGTACAGCTTCAAGTTCATTAGTTCCACGTCTTTCTCCACATTTTCTTCCGACTTTCTCCTACATATGTTTAGCGTTAATTAGAACCATCAAAGCATATATTCATGCATACACAAAAAAACACACATGAAAAGTAGTAGATGAAAAAAATAAAACATACATATGCGTGTCTACCTGGAAAGCCTGTAAATTTGAACCTTGGATTGTTTTGATCTATGCCTTCTCTTAGAAGAAGCAAAGGTGGGATGAGGAGGGCATGGGCTCCAAACCATGTTACACATCTTGTTATGATTTATTTAATTTCTACTAAACTTTAATAAAATGATCATCAAATGAATGAAAAAGTAGTTAAATATATCGAAAGTGAATGGGGAAATTGAGAGAAAGAAGAGGGGTGTAAGCTCCTATAGATAATGTTTGGTGTACTGAATAATTTGCAACATGTTATAGGCAGCTGGCTGTGGCTATGTAATAATTATGAGATAAAAGGAAAGTAAAAAGAACAAGATATTAGATTTCTTTTCAGTTGTAATGATGGCTGGTGAACTCATGATTGCTAAGGTAAGCAAACCCCAAAATGTTTGATGACAATAAAGAAACGAAGGTACATGGAAGGTTCTATGCATTCCCTTTTCCATTTCACGCTTAACAAATGTAGAATTTTACGTTAATAAACGAATTTTTAGAATTTTACGTTAATAGACCAAATTTTAAAATTTTAAAAAGAAATAACAATAAATTATCAAAAGAATATAAAAATATTTAAAATATATGAAAATTTAATTTTTTTTCAGAGGAGACTCATAACTCCGACCTATCCCTTCTTTCAACTCCATGAATAACTAGTCTTAATTATGTGGACAACAAAATTAAACTCCAGTCAAATGGCTTATATCCTAATGGACAAATCCCCATGGCAAACTCAAATGGCTCCATGAACATGACCCTCATGAAGAGAAAATATTTCATATCGGCTCGTGCGTATCAGCAAACCCTTTTCTCACACTAATTATCAGTATTCAACAGATTTGGTAATTTTCTTTGTCCAACTTATCAGTATACCTACCATTTTGGCAAAACTTAGACCAAAAGCCTTGACCTTCCTTGTAAATTATGAACCAAGCAAGAAGGTTAATATATTGTAAAGTTTTTACATTCTTATGATCTCCCAGGGCAGAATATTATATAAGCCAAGTGATTTATAGAGTTGAGTATTATATTTAATTATAATAGACGTTTTTGTTTAAAAAAAACCCAAAAATTCATTTATTGGACAAATAACCTCCAAACGACATTAATTGGAAAAATACCCTTCAAACTGCACAGGTAGGACTACAGTGCATCCTACAGAACGCATGTAAAGTATATAATAAAATAACAAAAAACTCTATTGTAATAAATAGACAAAACTTATTAAAATTAAAATTCATTCTAATGTAACATGTAACAAAACAAAATTGCTCCATGGTTCTAAAAACAATAATCATAATAAGTACATAGGTTGTTACTTGGTTGCCAAACTTGGTCGATTGAATTACATGGACAATTGTTATCACAATTACAGTATTCGATTAGTTCTGGAAAGGCAATGTTGTGACGACTCCATGACATTAAGCATGCAAACACATTGATCTTTGAACGAATAACATCTAAATTTATTTTTTTTAAATTGGTGAGATCAAGAGTTTTCACGATTTGAAGTCCTTCGTCTCTTAATTCACCCCCAGAATAAATTAGAATAATTACATAAACATATATGACCTTGATATTATCTTTATCGACTGCTATCTTCAAACAATGCAGACCAAACTTTAAATTTCTTCCCTAAAATAATCATACATGCCTCCTCTATATAACGCTTCGTGATTATTACTGGCTTTGCATATTTCTTGAAAACTTTTCTCGGTTTTAGTCCAATAAATGACGTTGATGTTCTTAAGCGAAACGCTTTCAAAGATGTAATTGTGCTTCGATACTTCATTAAAAGTCTTGTAACTCAATCGTGTATTGAGAAAATCGACGATAGAATTAGACACCACATGCACAAGAATTTTGGATAACACTTCTCTTGGGAATAACTCCACAATATCACTACATATTTTACCATTTTTTTAAATATGTTGAGAAAACATTATAAATGTACCCCTATTTATAAAAGTCATCGCATCATTTTTGAAGCGAGGAATCAATGGACTTCGCGTTATACAGGACGCGAGGTCTCTTGAAAAGACGTGACTTTCAATTCGAATAAAATTCAACTTGTCAGAACGAACCTCACGGTTTGTAAAATGCAAAGGTCCTAGCATTTGCAAACCATCGATCATTTGTTCATATGCATGTTCGAGGTATTTTCCCAAGTCCTAAATTGGATTTTTTTTTATAATTTATAAGATTAGTGGCGCAGTACTTGAGCTTATCTTTCAGTTGAGTGTAATATCAACACATACGAGACATTACAAGTAGGATAAAAATCGCATTCAAAATGATTCCAAAGCTTGGAGGCGTAGTATTGCAACTTATCTTTCAATTTTTGAGCTTAAAGGTATATTATTACAACTTATCTTTCAATTGAAACTGATATCGACACATACGAGAAATTGTAAGTGGGATACAATTCGCGTTCAAAATGGTTCCAAATCAAAAGAAGTAGAAAACTAGTGAACATATTTTGTAAATAACTTGCAGTGGCGTAAACAACTCAAAAAAAAATATGTGGAGTTGTTGATGCACTTATCGGTGCATATCTTAGCATGATACTACTATTGAGGAGAAGTAGATGTTGACACTAGAAGAGAATGGTTTTTATAATAAACAAATACAAAGGAAAAAGCTCAATAGGTACGCTAGAGTTTCTCAAAGGGTGGTCACTTGATCTTAATTGATGGAATGGGAAGTTTCTCACAAATGCCAAATGAAAATCTAGATACCACAAAAAGAGGATGCCTTTTATAACTTGCAACAATGTCGCGTAAACAACTCCAAATAATATATGAAGCTGTCGAGGCACATATGGGGCCTATATTAGCACAAAGAAAAAAACAATGTCACCAGAAGAGGATGCTTTGTATAAACTAAAAGTTTCCTCAGAAGGGATAAATCATTTATGAAGTAATAAGAAGGTTTCAAATAAGATTAGGTTTGATGGAACAAAAAGAATTTAAATAGGCAAGAAAATCACATCGTGCAAATTCTTCTTGATGTGACGTTGAAGGGAACTCACGCCTTGCATAACGCGAGGTCCTTGCCATTTCACATCCAATTGCCACGTCATAAATCTCTACAAAAGTCATGTTCTGCAGAACATGAGGTCATTGCCTTGCCATGTCATATTAAGAATCTCTGTAGACCCATGTCCTTGTCACGTCATGATTTCAAGAATCCATATAGATCTTTTCTATTGAAAAAAACACGACTTCCATTAGAATCCTTATTTCAAGTAAGTGAAGGAAAACAAACAAACCATACAAAAGTGAAGACAAGGATAATGGAATCTATCAGCATCTGTTTTAATTGTTAGTTTATGTGACGCTTCTCGATTATTACATAGTTTGAAGTCATTACAATTTCGCTAACGTTTGTTCTTCTATTTGCATGATCGTAGATATTTTCAAAATTTGTTGAGAAGAGGAAGTATTACTGATTTGGTATACTACGATGGCAAAATGATTCATGATGCATCTCTCGGTGTTGTCTTTCATTCCACACATACTGTGACGATAACGTTGTTGAGTAAATTAACGTATAAGAAGTTGATGAAGGAAGTCAAGAAAAATGTTCCATATGGTCGAGAGAAAAAACTTGAACCGTTGAAGTATCGACTACCGATGCGTTGGAACCATTAAACTACTCAATATATAATGTTGAGGACGATGATGATGTGTACATGATGCTTGATTCTAACTTGCAATATTCATTAGGAGGGCCCCTTGAGCTATATGCAAAATTTTCTAATGATGATGATGTTACCAGTGTCCCAAATTGGAAACGGTCAGATTTTGACTTCAATCCTAATGTTCAAAGTTCGATAGTTAATTTACGAAATGATTTCAGCTTATTAAGTACACAAAGTATACGCAATGACTTTGGTGCCTGACAAGCGTGGTATATTATCAAATAAATAAGCAAATAATATAGTATAGAGAAGAAAAGATATATCCGTAGGACTAAAGAGCTTCTGATGTTGAATGGTTATGATTCTGGTTTAGGCAAAAAAGCAAATGAAATGATGGGGTTTTAATTGAAAGAGTGAAGTAAAAATAAATGTGAAAATAAAAGTACTTATGAAAAATTAATCTAATTTCGAGTTATCAGTTTCGCTTTTTGTTCTCTCATTTGTTATTTTATGTTCCTGTTTAATACCAATCAATTTCTCTCATGTAGTTCTATAATTCATTTCTCAAATTCCCTTCTCTCTTTTTATTCTGTCAAATTTTGTCGGATTTGCTCACTTTTTTCTCATCGATTGACGCTGATCTAAAGAAAGAATAAAACGAGAAACAAACAACCTCCGATCATCATATCAACGAGGTATGCTTGTTTTATTTTTCGATTTCGATTTCGATTTCCTGCTTCTGGGTTTCATGTTCATCGATTGAAGAAGTGTTACGAAATTATCATTTTTTTATAATTTTATTATTATTTTTGACTCGTAATTACTGATGACCGTTCGATTTATTCCGATGGACGGCTGATATTAAGTAGGAATTTTTAACGTGTTAATTTAGGTTATGGATTGGAATATTATGATTTAACTGTTGAATCTTATAAGGTGGCGTTTGGTTCGCAGGAATCCCTTGGAATTAGGAGGAATTGGAATCTACCACTTTCCCATGTTTGGTTCAAGTTTTAAAAGGGAATTGGAATCCCTCGTGACTTCAACTTTCTATCAAATAAGAGAAAGTGAATTACATCCATTCTATGATGGAAATCAATTCCCTTGTTGGAGGGAATTGAAATTTGACCATACTATCCTCATTAGGGGTGTGCATTATCGGATATCGGATATTATTCTATCCGAATTTTCGGATATCCGAAAATTTCAGATACCTAAAGTAATGATCCGTATCCGATCCGAAAAATTCGAATATTGGAACATTCGGACATCCGAAATTTCGGATCAGATATCCAAATATCCGGATCTGAATCCGATTTTTGTTAGAACAAAAAATTCTCCTTTTTTCTAATTTTTTTATTTATCTTATCCACCCAAACACTTGCAATTAAATCAGATAATTAACAAAATACTTTACTATTACTTGTTACGGGATCCTGATCTTATTCTCAAACGAAATATATTTGATTAAATATGTAATATTACCATTTTAAAAATTATTATTTTTATTTCTACTAGTGTTAATTCCCTCGTCTTTTTTTAGTTGTTCATAAAAAAATAACAGAAATTAAATACTAATTCCAAAATTGATGAATGTAAAGAACATTATATATATTCCAAGATATACGCACTTCTCATGCCCTAATGCACCAATCAGTATGTGTCCTTCGAAATACGATGGCACCATCATAAATCTTGGTAGATTTATATTTCAGTGAATTAATCACATAGTATTCCACTGTTCCGTTGACGAATCCTGTGGCATCATTAGCAATTCCAGCTTGATACAATTGGTGCATTCTTAGTTGCATGGTAGAATGGAGATTTTACGTGGCAATTGTTATGGAATACCTGGCTTTATTCGTAGAATTTATGAGAAACATTTGATGACTGGTGTGATAAAAATGTAAGCTGAAAGTTTCAGGATCTTCTTTTGTAACTCTTTTTGCTTCTTCTGTTAACATATCAACGCTTTGTGTTTGTGGAAAGTCCATATAACATAGGATGTATAATATAATTATGAGTCTAAATTATCGGAACTCACAACGAAACAGAACCATTCAGGCAGAGAATATGAAAGTATTTCTAGCATATAGTTTTATTAATATTACGTATCATAAATTTATTCAAATTTTTCAAGGACATGGTTTAATCGGGATTAACATGTCATTTTTGGGTAGCGCTAGTATTTGATCCTTGAAGAGTGCGGCAAACGAAGCAGGTAGGAATTATGACAAAATGAGTTGAAGGATGTCCCTGTAAAACTTGAATGATTTATGAATTTCTTCCAAACAATCTAGAAGCAAAAAAAGGAAATGGCAGAACAAGGTAATAGCCCAAATAGCTCTTAACTAATAATATAGTCCAATTTTTTTTGGGTTTTCGAATAATCCAAAATTAGATTTTGATCGATCCGTATCTAATCCGAAAATCCAAAAAAATATCGGATACCCGATCCGAGCTATCCGAAAATTAAAAATCGGATTGGATATCCGAATTTTCGGATTGGATCAATGGATCAGATCGGTCGGATTGAGTTTTTTTGCACACCCCTAACCCTCATTAATCTTTTGGTAACTTATTCATATATTGAATAAAAATATTTTTTTATTATTTCGGGTCGGGTCGGGTTTCTAATTCATATATTCGGGTCGGGTGAAACTTTATTTTGATCGGGTCGGGTTGGTTTTTTTAAGTGTGATATTCGGGTCGGGTCGAGTTCGGGTTTAGGGTGAAAAATATCCGACCAGTTTCGAAAATATATATAATTTTACCTCATATATTTAGGAATAATTACAATAATACCCCTCTATATATAATTTTTTTTTCAATTAAGTCACTGTTTTTATTGAATAAAATAATTTTTTTATTATTTCGGGTCGGGTTTCTAATTCATATATTCGGGTCGGGTCGGGTGAAACTTTATTTTGGTCATGTCGGGTCGGTTTTTTTAAGTGTGATATTTGGGTCGGGTTCGGGTTTAGGGTGAAAAATACCCAACCCGACCCAAAAAATATATAATTTTACCTTATATATTTAGGAATAATTACAATAATACCCTCTATATATAATTTTTTTCAATTAAGTCATTGTTTTTATTGAATAGAAATAATATTTTTATTATTTTGGGTCGGATTTCTAATTCATATATTCGGGTCGGGTCGGGTATCGGATGGCTAAAAGAGGGCTGATAAAGAATTGTATTAAGTGAAGCGGCCATTGTTTTTGGGGTTTGAAGAATCCGAAAACAGTTCTATTAGACAAAAGAAGATTGAGGGCGTGGATGATATAGTAAGGATCTGCTGGATCCGTTACTATTGTAGTCTTGTTCACGAACAAATCGTTGCCGGTTGAATTAGGTTTGATGCAATAACCAAAGAAATTGGACAAAGTGATCCCACTAAAGAAAATAGCAATTCAGTCTATCAAGTTTGAAAATGGGCAATCAAGGACATTTAACCACAGTTTCAATATTTTCCATCGATTCTACATAATTTTAAGGGTGAACCATGTATTAAGTCACCTAACTATTCTTGTCATTCCATTTTGGTCACCCAATTATTTTTTTATTAAAATCATATTTGAACTAACGTTTTAATTATCCACTATTAAAAAGTAGTTGTGATATTGACGTATCAACATAAGATAATGCAATACCATTGTAGACACACATTTTCGTCCGGAGCTTTTTTATTTATTTATAATAATATCGTATAGTTTTTGAAAGATTTTTTGAAACATCGGTTTTTGAAATATATATAATATAATATATAGTTTTTGAAAACATTTTAAAAAATATATATAATATATAGTTTTTGAAAATATTTCGAATATATATATATAATATATAGTTTTTGAAAACATTTTGAAAACATATATATATAATGTATAGTTTTTGAAAATATTTTGAAAACTTATATATTATATAGTTTTGAAAATATTTTTTAAAATATATAATATAAAGTTTTTTAAAACATTTTGAAAATGTATATAATAAATAGTTTTTAAAAATATTTTGAAAATATATATAATATATAGTTTTGAAAATATTTTGAAAATATATATAATATAATTTTTTAAAATATTTTTGAAAACATATATTATATAGTTTTAAAAACAATTTTTTAAAAATATATTTTATATGGTTTTGAAAACAATTTAAAAAAAACATATATGATATATAGTTTTAAAAATGATTTTTTATTTTATTTTTTATTAATATTTATTTATTATTTTATTAATATTTTTCCTTCTTTTTTTTGTTTTTTTTTCAGGTCCAATGAAGAATCCAAACAGTCCAATGAAGCCGGTTTTGGGCCTGATCCAGCCCAGTAAAGGTTAGGGTTTGTGAAACCTAAAATAATATCATCAGGCACCACAAAGGAGTTATCATCGGGCGCGTGAGACCATGCGCTAGTGCTAAATCGATCGTTTCGACACCAAACAGAGGAACACAAAAGGAAACAACCCCTACTTTTAGCAACAACATCCCGGCTAAATCGGAACTGACCCATCCCATTTTAGCTGGTCAAATAAACAACATACCGAAAAGAACGGGAACAACCCGTTGAGGGTGGAAACAAACCACTGGCGGTGGGTATAAATACCCCACCAAATCTGTCACAAAGGGAAGGGGAAAACAAAGCCGAAACATCGAAACCACAACAACATTGAACAACAAAGGAAGCAAACACAGAGCAAAAAAAACAAATCATTTCGAAACATACAAAGCTGCAAAGCAAAGAAAAATCATAAAAAAATATAACATTGTTCAATTGAAGAGTCCTCGGAGAAGAAGGAGCCGCCGGAAGTCGAACAGTCCGCCGAGAAAGGTAAAAACCAAGTAAAACTTAGATCTACACCGATTTGTATGGATTTTGGGGATTTGGGTTTTGGTTTCGGATTCCTGAGGTCGAGGGCTATCGAAAGGGGTAAATTTTGATTTTTCTGGCCACCGGAGGCGGTGGCAGAACTGCGACGGACAACATATTTATCACCGGTGGGTGGCCGGTTTTCGGTCGGCTAAGGAAAGGTTTGAGAGAGGTTTTGAGAGGAGAGGAGTTTTTTTTTGGTAAAAATTATATTTTTCGGTTTTGGGCCATTTATAGGGGAGAGACCACTGCGTATTAACCAATAGTTAAATTATTTTCGCAGTCCCTCATATTTTGAAGTGTAATTCGTTTCGGTCACTTGTTACAATTTTGTCTCTGAATTTTCAATTTATTCAATTTAATCCCTGTTTACATTTCTTATATTTTGCAATTCAGTCCCCTAACTTTTGTTTTTTCTCTTACAACCCATTTTTAGTATTAATTTAGTCCATCGGTTTCAATTTGTCCCAATTTGATCACTTAAGTCTTATTTATTTTCCTGATTTTATTATTTCTAACATTTAACGTTTTTATTTATTTATTTTTTTTTGAAAAATAACATTTTCTTTTTTTCCTTTATTTTTATTTTTTTTTCTTTTTAACATTTATACATTTTATTTTTGTTTATTTTTCTATATTTTTATGTTTTTATATTTCCTTCATCTTATTTTATTTCATTTTTCTCTTTTAACTTTTTTTTACCTTTTTTCTCTTAATTTATTTATATATTTTTTCTCTTTGATTTATTTAATATTTATTTTTTTTAATCTAACATTTTTTACTTTCTTTTTTAGGGACACTTTTAACTAATCAAAGGTAAGTGATTTGAATCGAGTATTTAAGTTTCAATTTTCGCAATTAAGGCAACCGACAAATTAAATGGTACCGAAAGGGCAATTCAAGGGTGATAATCCTTCTTTGACTGTAACCAATTCCCGAATCAGACATATTTCTGGTAAAACACAGATCAGATAATATGGTGTCCGATCAACCAATTTTTCATAAAAACAATGATCGGTGGCGGGTCTAACATTTTATTCAACACGAAGCCCAATTTCAGGCCCACCCGAAAGATGATTGTGACAGCTTGGCGACTCTGCTGAGGACATGTAAGTGAGTCAAGCCAGAATTAATTTTCGGTCGTCTTTTTTTAAAGCGAAAATTGTAAGTTTAAATTTTATTTTAACTTTTCGATTCTTATTATTTATCTTTGATTATTATTTTTAAATAAATAGTTATACTGACGTTTTTTTCAATGATTTCATATTTTTGAAAAAGTTTTCATATCTGGCTCTATATTGAGCTTCGAACCCTTTTTAAGTGGGGGTGAAAGTGACGCCTTCGTGAGAATTTATTCTCCGTGCGGGCATAGCAAGTAACCTTCGGAATTCATATACCTTATGTATTCGTGTGAATTTATTCTCCGTATAGGCATAAGGGAATGTATTCTCTCGAGTTTAACTTAGTTCACATAAGCTTGTAATGTAGGGTAGATATCATTTTATTTTTATCATTTACATCATTCAAAAGAGGTGTTGATCCACCAAAAACGTGTTCGTTAAATGTAAATAGTTTGCATTAATGGACGAAGGGGTTGTAATCCAAGAAGTGAAAAACATAAAAGTCTGGCTATGGTCAGAAAGGACCGGGATTTACACCGAGCAAATCAAAAGTTAACTTTTTAAGTTGACAAAGGTTGCAGGGGCAAGAAGAAGAAAAGTTACTGACCAGGAGAGTCCATTCAAAGACAACAAGAACAATATGACATCGTGATAGCTGAAACTGGAGGCCATTGTTGACTAATTCAAGAAACAAGCAAATGAACTTCAGATAGTTCCATTCGATAGAAGTTTTCAATGGATCTTTCGTTAGGAGTAGGCTCAGTAGAGAGTGAAAGCCGGAGATGCAGTCATTCGAGACTTCTTGGGAATAGTACAAAAAAGTAGTTCGTCACTTGCACGATTTAACCAGAGAAGCTGGAGTGGTTTGACAAGGTATTCAACCGGTGACAGACAAAGGCAAAAGATTAGTCAACCTGTTAGAGGTTGTTCGGGGTCTAGAAGACTTAGTCAGAATACACCTTTAAGATGTTTTTTGTCTCTTAAGAAACAACACTTTTGTTCCAATATTTATAATAACATACTTGTTTTTGGATCAATGTCTCGAACATTTCATGCATCATGCATTTAGACATATTTTTCATTTTGTTATTTTCATTTCTTTATATTCACATTAACTAACAGAAGAATGTCTCATCAAAAAAGGGAACAAGAACTAGACATACCACCCTGAGCATTGGACTCACCTCATCCACATAATACTCGTTCAAAGAAAAAGAAGATGGGAGCCAAAATCGCTCAACTCGAAGAGAACATGTTGAGGCTGCAAAGAGAGTTAGAAGAAAAGATAAGCCAGAATAATCAAAGTACTCTGGATACAACAACTAAGAGCCAAGAGTCCTTGGTCGATCAGATTGTTGCCAAGTTAGCTGGCTTACATTAAGCAAGTGCGCCTGGGGTAGGTTCGTCTGATGGGGTAGGTATGCTTACTACCCCACAGTTGGTTATCTCACCTAGAATTTTACCAGGACTACAAGGGGACTCATCCGCTACAAAAGCGAAAGCTTAATCTGCTGTAAAAGGTACAAACTTTTGTATCCAAACCTGAGAATAATCTGGATGATTATCATATATCAGATTTTGATGAAGAATATAAGGTAAAGAAGATGGAAGAAAAGATCAAGCAATTGGAATACCAAATGAAAGTGGTTAAGGGAGACCATGATTATTTTGGAGTCGATGTCGCGAAACTCAGTTCATTCCCAGACTTGGTTCTTCCTCCGAAATTTAAGTCCCTAGAATTTGATAAGTTCGATGGGAACAATTTCCTGTTAGCCTACATTACCATGTTTTGTCGAAAGATGATAGGATATGTAGGAAATGACCAACTCTTGATCCATTGCTTCCAGTAGAGTCTGTCGGGCTCAGTCATCCGGTGGTACAATCAACTAAGCCGATCCCATATAAAGACTTGGAAGGATTTAGACAAGTTATTTTTGGAACAATACAAACACGTCAATAACATGAGGCTAGATCGAGTTATGCTACAAAGCTTGGAAAATAAGCATAACGAGAGTTTCAGGCAGTATGTACAGAGATGAAGGGATTTAGCTGTGCAAGTTCATCCACCCTTTGATGAGAAGGAAACCAAGAAGCTCTTCATGCAAACACTGAAGGATCCTTACTTCGGGTAGCTAGATGCAATCACATATGGAATTTTTTCTGACTTAGTCATGGCCGGTGAGATGGTAGAAATGGCCATAAAGCAAAGCAAGATTAAGGAAGGGGAGGCCAATAAGAAATATTCTATGAAAGAGAGGGATGAAAAGATGAACAACATCAACACCTACCATACCAATAAAGGTGTTACAATCTCCAACCCAAAAACAACTGCAGCTGTACCATCAGGTACTTCTAGACAAGATTCAAGAGAACCTAGGAAGAAAAGGGAACATTTCGACCTTATTCCCATGACCTACAAATAACTTTACCAACAACGCTTTGACACACACGTAGTGTCACCATACCCGGTGAAACCCATGAAGCCCCCATACCCCAGGTGGTATGATGAGAATGCTCATTGCGAATAGTATGGCGGTGTCCCAGGGCACACTATCGAGAACTGCTTCACATTCGAGAGAATCGTGCAGAAAACACGTAACAAAAATTGGATCGACTTCAACAACTCAGGGGCATCCTAACAAGGAAGAAGATCATTCCATCATGAAGATTTACTCCATTTATAGCATTTTGTTTGAATTTGTTTTTCATCTATTCTCTATTTTTTGTAAGGATATTTAAATGAGTTTATGCTACTTTAAGGATGGCAAGTAATAAATCAAATTTGTAGACTTGAAATTCTCTTAATATTAACTGAATTAAAAACTCTGCAAATGGTTGGAGTTTTAAATCTTTGACAAAGTATTAAGATTGAAAACTGATAAAACAAAGACCTTGTTCTTACCCTAGAAGATACACTCGAACACCATACCCTTCTCTTGCAAGAACCAATATAGCCTTCTCCTCTCATAAGGGAAAGAACAAAAGGCTTGGTATTTAGGTATGTATAGGAGTAGACAACATGAGGTATTTTTTGCATATAACATTACAAAACTTATTAGACCATACTTTTGTTGACGACGTTCAATGATGATTATGATCCTTACAGATAGAATAGTCGAGTAGGTGAATCTAGTTTAGGCCAGTTGCTTGGAAATTGAATTCTAAAGATGAGTTTTTTTTACTTTCAAGAATACCTAGACAATAACAGGTTCTTCTTGACAATATTAAGAAATTGAATATGTAAAGCTAAGCTATTCCACTAAGGCAATTGGTTATAGAGGAAACTTGAAAGCTGGCCTAATGAATAGATTGTATTCAAACCATGACATTGCTCGAACACTTGGCAATTTGGTGTTTTCTCCAATGCAATTTTCAGGTCGAAGACTTTGTGATGAGATGAACCCTTCAGTTAACCTGATAAAAGTGATTATACTATTGAGTTGTCCCTTTAGAGCAATTGGTTAAACGCCCCAGCTTTATGGATAAGATTCAACTAGCCAGACAATGGCAAATTAAATCAAATTTATCTAAATAAGGAGTTTCGACAAAAATGGACTAAGGGAGTTAAGGAACACTTGTTGTAGTCAATTTCACACGAGCACTCAGGAATTTCATTTTTAGATCGATATTTCGGCATAGCCTTTGTTAGATGAACCTACAAAGCTTGAACAAATGGAAGATTTTAGAGAACCTAAATAGAAGGTCTAGTAATTGATTATACTAGTTGCGTCATTTTGTCCGCATCCGATTAAAATGCCAAGCCAAGAAAAAATGGCATGTTGCAATGTTCAAAATGACCGAGAAAGAAATGACATTTTGATGGCCGAAACCTTAGAAAATAAGAGGCCAACCTGAAGCCAACTCATCAATTTAGATATTTGTCAAAGAGCTATAACTCCGAAAGCATTAAAGAGTTATTGATTTTTTTGATTTTCTATGAACTCATGTTTATGATTTGATTCGATTGTGAGCCTGAATTAAGGGGAAATGTTTTACAAAATTCTTATATTCTTTTTTTCCTAAAATAAGAGAAATGAGAAAAACATTTTCAAACAGGACAGTCTCAAATGTTAAAGGCTGCAACCCAAGAAGAAAATAGGACATGATCGATTCCAAGGACCAGATCGACAGATAAATAACGAGACTCCATCCAAGAGATAAAACAAGGATTAATTCATGTTGCATGCATCTTAGACATACTTAAGAGCATCACATTTATCATTTTTTTCGAATATATGATTTTTCAGCTTTAGAGTCAAGTTTCAACTTCAAGACGAAAGATATTCGACTCAAAAGCACCTTCAAAAAAATTGACGGTGGTTGCTTAACTCAGCGGCGAGGAGCTACACCTTAATCAACTTGACATATTGAAAGATCGTCAGATCTTAGAATCAACTTCAGACGGGATCGAGAGCCAATTTAGAATAAATCCAGTTCAACTTAACTCAACAACGAGTGGCTAGTTTCTAGTTAACGTTTTCAAGCCATATTTTAACTCTCCGACGGATGATATCCGACTGACAGAATATATCACTTGGCTTTCCCGCGAAGGTCAGCCATTTAAAGAATTATGACCGGCTTAGACCCGTGAAGGGGAGCTATTTTTCACTTAAAGAAACTATTCGCAACATAGCTCAAGGCAAGAAGAGCTATCTACCAGCATAAAAACCTTCGACCTCAATTACATTCGGCTCAAGAGCATATCAAATTTAAAGTATAGCTTAAGGCGATAAGGGTTATATGTCAACAAACCTTCGAGTTCGAATACATTCAGTTTAAGGGCGTATCAAATTTACATTATAGCTCAAGGTGAGAAGGGCTATTTGTCAACAAAAAACTATCGAGTTTGATTCCATTCAGCTCGATGACATATCAACCGCATGGTAGCAGCGAGGAACTACTTTCCGGTTGAAGTTTAAACCAAGGTCTTTAAGTCAAGAAGAAGATCTAAGGTAATCTCTCAATCTAGTACAACATAACTTAAGGCGAGAAGGGTTATCTGTCAACAAAAACCTTTGAGTTCGATTCCATTCAGCTCAAGGGCATAACAAATTTACAGCATAGCCCAAGGCGAGAAGGGCTATCTGTCAATGAAGACTTTCGAGTTCGATTCCATTCAGCTCGAGGGCGTATCAATCGCATGGTAGCAGAACTACTTTCCAGTTGAAGTTTACACCAAGGTCTTTAAGTCAAGAAGAAGATCTGGGATAATCTCTCAATCTAGTACATCATAACTCAAGGCGATGAGGGTTATCTGTCAACAAAAACCTGAGTTCGATTTCATTCAGCTCAAGGGCATAACAAATTTACAGCATAGCTCAAGGCGAGAAGGACTATCTGTCAATGAAGACTTTCGAGTTCGATTCCATTCAGCTCGAGGGTGTATCAACCACATTGTAGCAGCGAAGAACTATTTTTCGGTCGAAGCTTAAATCGAGGTCTTTAAGTCAATAAGGAGATCTGGGTTAGCTGTGTTTTAGTGACAATAAACTATCTTCCAACAACATAGCTTAAGTCGAGAAAAGCTATCTGTCAACAAAAACTTTCAAGTTCGATTCCAATTATCTCGAGAGCATATCAACCACATGGTAGTATCGAGGAACTACTTTCCAGTCGAATTTTCAAACGAAGGTATTTAAATCGAGGAAGAGACCAAGGTTGACTACATTTTGGTAACAAGAAGCCACCCCCGATTCAAATTCCGAACTACGGTTTCAATTTCATGAATAAGGATATCATTTCAAGACTGACTCAACTTTGCGGCGGAGGAGTCATTCGCAACTCAATTTAACAGGGAGTTATTCCACAGTCCCTCATATTTTGAAGTGTAATTCCTTTTGGTCACATGTTGCAATTTTGTCTTTTAATTTTTAATTTATTCAATTTAATCCCTATTTACATTTCTTATATTTTGCAATCCAGTCCCCTATATTTTGTTTTTTCTCTTACAACCCATTTCTAGTATTAATTCAGTCCATAAATTTCAATTTGTCCCAATTTGATCCCTTAAGTCTTATTTATTTTCCTGATTTTATTTTTTGTAACGTTTAACATTTTTTTTTATTTTTTTATTTCTTTTTTTTGAAAAATAACATTTTCTTTTTTTTTCTTAATTTTTTTTATTTTTTATTTTTTATTTTATACATTTATACATTTTATTTTTTTATTTTTTCTATATTTTTTTATGTTTTTATATTTCCTTCATCTTATTTTATTTTATTTTTCTCTTTTAACATTTTTTACCTTTTTCTCTCTCTTAATTTATTTAATTTTATTTATTTAATATATTTTTTAATCTAACATTTTTGACTTTCTTTTTTAGGGACAATTTTTACTAATCAAAGGTAAGTGATTTGAATCGAGTATTTAAATTTTAATTTTCGCAATTAAGGCAACCGAAAAATTAAATGGTACCGAAAGAGCAGTTCAAGGATGCTAATCATTCCTTGACTGTAACCGACTCCCAAATCTGACACATTTCTGGTAAAATACATATCAGGTAAGATGGTGTCCGATCAACCAATTTTTCATAAAAAAATGATCGGTGGTGGCTCTAACATTTTATTCAAGTTGAAGCCAAATTCCGAGCCCACCCGAAAGACGGTTGCGACAACCATCATCGCCAAAAAATACATCAATAGTTGTGTCTATTTTTTAAGGCCAAACGGAATTAAAACATAAGTTTAGGTATGATTTTGAGAAAAACTAGTAGAGTGACCAAAATGGGCCCATATGAATAGTTGTGTGACTAAATACATAGTTTACCCTGATTTTAATTAACATACTGGTAATTTTATTCCTTATTGTTTAAGCATTATTCCAATTTGGTCGTTATTCTAAAAATTCAATACAAAATTTACACATTTTGTAAAGGCTAATGGCTAAATTTGTTACTTTTTAAAATTATGACTAAATTGGCAGAAATATTTAATTGTCTTTTCTTTTGCAAAATTCAGCACAATTGAAAATCAGAAACAAAAATTGCAGGGATGGATGTCAAGAGGATACTCAATTCTTGGCAAGGAAATAACAAACTAATTTCAATAGAAGAAATGCAAGCTTGTTAAATTAAAAACTGAAAAAGCTGCTTGTTTGAGCAAAACAAATATCAGATGACTAAATTTACACCTTGAATTTATGCTATATGCCTATATCAGTTTACAACAGACGCAAGTTAAAATAATGCCAATGTCCAATGCACAGCAGCAGTTTGAGTTAAGAAAGCTGCCGTCTCCGATTAATCTTCCATATCATCTAATGTTGACCAGATCATCCTATCAAATACATATAAAAGTTCCCATGTTAGCAGCTCAGAGAGTAAAAGTAACATGTCTAGAGGCAGAACACAGTGTGTTTAAGAAAACAACAAATTACCAGAACATGGAGAAAAAGAGGAGAACGATAACGTAGCCAAGCTTAAAAAGGCGCTGCTTCTTCTCCCAGGGAAGCATGTTAAATATCTCCGTAACATCTGCTAGGTGCTTTCTCTCCGTGTAACTGATAACAAGAGAGCATATACAATTTCAAAAGCACTTGACAGATTATATATAACATAATTGCAATACACTGCTTTTCATTTCCCAGCAGAGTAATTTTCAGATGCTCGCAGCCACGATTGATATTATAAACAAAACTTAATTTAAAACATACAAATAACTACAATTACATGAGAGACCAAGATTCTGGCATGCATGCAATCTTCGATAGGTAGGAAAAAGAAAGTTTTTTTTATCATAATGTAAATTCTCGAATCCAACAAACTTGGCACAAGGGATGCTAATACTTTTTGGGACCAATGAATTTATTTGTTGCCAAATTAAAGTGAAAGTCGTTAGTATGTCTGCCAATCAATCTTCAAAGAAGATCACTAAAACATTCTATTGTTTACTTCGATCAATGGAACATTGCCCGCAGCACCATACATGTTACCCTCAGCAGATGAATCACACTTTTCTTTACAGTTAGTGCCTGATAGCATGGGTCTTTAACCTACGAGAGGCTGAAAGGCTAATGGAGCAAACAATCAATACTCATATTCACCACAAGGACGTTCACAATACTGGAAAGTGTAGACATATAACACAAATCTTTCCTTGATGCATCTCTTTGCACGAGTTAGAAGTTACAAGTTAAGAACAAAAATTCCACAACTCATAATTCACGTTGTCAAACAAGATCAAGGAATTAAATAGACCAGTCAACCAGATGGGCTTAACCTGACAAGACATAGGGTTGCAATGCAAGCTGAATATAAAGTAACTGTGGGGAAGGAATTTGAAATTAAACAGTGAATCAAAACCAGGAAAACTATCATTTGACCTTTTCCTAGAAACAGACTACATTAACAATAAATGGTAGAATAAGAAGATGAGAGAAAAACTTACTGTCTCACATTGTAGTATAAATATGGAGCACACAAGAGCGACATGACCCAATGCCCCGTTAATAGATAGAATACGCACAGAAGCCCTTGGATGATAAATTCTGGCAAGACAACTTTATTGATCCGTGATGAAGAGTCATAAGGATTGATGTAATCGAACTCTAAATCAGCCAAGCACATGAGCTGCAGAAAAATTTTGAAGCTGTTAAATCCCTTTACCGTTTTAAGTACATAACCAGAACAATCTTCAGATGAATAATAGCATCACTAATTAGCTTAACATTGTCAAGGCTTTAAAATCCAAATCAAAGCCCCAATTCAATAAACCCAGATGAATTCACCCCAACAATACTACACAAAGACACGATTTTTAGCATTCATAGTGGTTTTCCTGCAGCTAAATAGAAGAGCCAACTAACTAATCAATACCCAGCAAGTTAATAGCAAAAGAAACATGTAGTTCAAACAAAAAAAGTAAGAAATATAAGCAAAATTCCAAGCATAGATTCTAGGGTTTATGAGGGAATTGACCTGAAAAACAATGAGAGCAATAAGCGCAATGAGAATGAAAAAAGACGTAAGCCATATGAAAATATCTCCCATGACCCCTTCTTCCTATATCTTCCCGTTTCCTTATTAATAGCTTGAAGCCCCAAAGACAGAAGAAGTGAAACCTGGATTCGACTGTGCCGGAGTATTGGTGTTAGCTTGCTCTGAGTTCTGAAACGTCCAGAAGAACCGACCAAAACTAGCCTACAAAGTACTGTTTTTGACCCTTTGAAAGTTTCGAAGTTTATTGTTCTACAGCAGGTAATAATTTAATTTGGAATTTGAACAGATCAGAGAACTTTTATAACAAGTTCACCCTAATTTCCTTGTCCAAGTAGGAGAGTATTAAATAAGTTGAAATATTGTAGGAGATCATCAAATAAGTTGAAATATTTTTTTAATAAAAGTTTTATTTAAAAATTTATGAATAAATAAATTTATAATTTATAATTAATAATTTAATTCAAATATTCTTAATTACAAAATTTTTAAATAGTAACCCAGTTGAGATGTGAGAAATTTATTAGATCGTAAATTTTTAAATCATGGTAATATTATATTTAGAAATAAAAATAATGTTCAAAAGTGTTTTAAGGATCAAAAGTACTTTTGGCTTTTAAAGTACTTTTAGATTAGAAGTATTTTAAATCAAAAGTACTTTTTTATTTGGTTTAAGAAATGTTTTTGAAAAGTTGAAAGTTTTAGGTTTTAATTTTTTAAGTATTTTAATCAAAATTACTTATTCATCTTTATTTGTATCACTAATTTTTATATTTTTAAAAATAATATCTACTTAAAATTATTTTTTACATCAATCCTTTTAAACAAACCAACTCAAAATATTTTTAAACATTTTAAAAATTAATTTTCTATTACACTCTAAAAATATTATCTAAGTGATAAATATTGTTTAATTCGCAAGGAATCAATTTATTATATAAATTATAAAATATTAAAACTTGTGAATATCTGATGAACCTTCAAAATAAAAAATAAATTTTTATTTTTTAAAATTTAATTAAACTTTCAAATTAAAATTTAATTAATTAAAAAATATTCATCCTTATAAAAGTTCAATGATTTTCTGGCACCCTTCAAGCGAGAAAATGTTGAAAATTTTTAGATTCTACAAATTAATTAAAATAAGTTAAGAGGGGTGAATAGATCTCTCGAAAAATTTTGGAAATGAAGAAAATAGATAAACAATAAGGCATAAGGATTTGTAGCGATTCAGCTTCCTCAATAAAGTCTACATCCACTATCTTACCTCAACAATAAGGATTTTTAACAAGTTCGCAAATTTGTTCTTTCTTTTTTAGGATAAAGAGTAACATTTATAATTTCTCTAGTTTTTCAAAGGCTAAACTACAATCACTTCTTTTTCACAAAAATGATAAATAAGTAAACAAGAAAATCTTACAAGGTGTTTACAAAATTAAACTCACAAAAATACTATGTACATGAGAAAAAAAGAATAAAGAGTGAAAGAGTTTTTCCCTTGATCTAGATTCTTTGGATAGGTGTTGTAACCTTCTTCAAGTGTCCTTAACTTGTTTCTATATGTTAGAATTAGTTTGTAGTCATTTCTATGAGTTGAAGATTAATTTTCTACAAAACAAAATAGCCAAGAACAGGGAGTATCGATACTCAGGCTAAGAGAGTATATGTACTTCCTTTGTAATATTTAAATAAACTAGTCGTTATCGACCAATGAGCTTGACTAGTATCGATACTAGGGTTTCATGGAATCAATACTACTATTTAAAGTAGTATCGGTACTCCTAGAATATCGATACTCCTAGAGTATCGGTACCAATTTTTCTTATTGGAATTTGAACAAATTGGAGAACATCATTTAGTATCGGTACTACTAGAAAACAATTTTGTGTTCAAATTCAAATTTTATGGATTTTGAAAACCTTGAATAATTTCAACCAAGTCCAAAAAAAGTTTCCCTTAATTTTTTATATCAAAAAATGTTCAATAATCTCCCTTTTTATATAATAAAACATTTGAAAATGGATTTTGACAAACCTCCCCTTCTAATATAACATTTTATGTAAAAGAGAAATATTTTAGAAAATATTTAAGCTCTCTTTTTTCATGTTTGAAATTGATTTTACCAAACATATACTTCTCACCCTTTTTGTTATATAAAAAATAATTCAAACTTTTAAGTTCAAAATAACAATCGAGAGTAGGTAAAAAATTTTGTAACATAAAATAATTTGAAAAATTTAGAAGTCTCAATTTTAAAAGGCGTAGGGCGCACTGAAGCGCAAAGGGTCCCTAGAGCCTAGGTGCCGGACGTTGGGAGAAAGCGCTCTCTTTTCATATGTGAGGCACACTTTTATACGAAAAAGCCTATAAATCAATTATATAACATATTTTGTACACAAAACAACATTATAATCATATTTTTGAACACTTAAATATTAAAATATTCAAAACAATGCATTAACAACACAAATTAATATGAAAGGATAGTTCAAATAAAAGAAAGAGAAAAAAATAAAAGGCAAACAACATGATTGTTGAAGTCTTGAAGACTTAAAGTTCTTAATGTTTTGTTTGTGACACACAACACAATAGATTTAAACATTAAATACTTAAGCACTCATAGTCTAATAGTAACTACTCTAAATCATACTCAACATAACTTTCATCTCCGTCATGTCCACCATAATCTTCATCTTCACCAATATCCTCTTCTATCTCATCTTCCTCATCATTCATGAAGACTTTGTGAGAATAGCTAGTAGTTGTGTCTTTTACTTTATCAAATCTAGAAGATGGTCTAGAACTTTCGTCATTGATCCTTGATGCTCTAGTCAAATAGTTAGGATCACGGGCTCTGACAGCTTTACCTACTTGACCCCATGTCAGACCATCACTATCATCAAACACAAATTCATCTTCAACATCAGAAGAGTTGCTCTCCATTATGCCAAGTAACCACTCATTGCTTTTATCAATCCTCTAGAGAATAGGATCAATGGTGTCTTTCTTTTGATATCAACTTCTCAATGCACAATCATTTTACAAAGACTAAATCATTTGATCAATCTTGTGTCAATATGTTTATTTTCTTTTTATAAAGATGTAAGAAATAAAAAATTTAAACAAATTATTAAATAGTGAAATATTAATAAATAGTTATGATATGAAAGAAAATATGTAAAAAGATAGTTTCCTACAAGCTGAAAACACCTTAATTCCTCTCACAACAAGTAGTTGTACAAGTGAGACTAAGGACTTCGATAACAAAAGTTGAAGATCCAAATGAAGACCACCACTCCACTATAAAAAAAATATTATAAACCTGTGAATTAATAATTTCAAAGAAAATAAAAATATAGAATAATGCACCAAATAGTTAAAATAACTGATTTTATATATTTTAATAATGACAAAATCAAGTATACCTAAAATATCCATGCAAAATACAAGTCTACTAGTGCTTATGAAGTTTACCAGCTTTATATATTTCAATAAGCAAATGGTAGTCCACACTATATATGAACATATTTAATTAAAAAACAATAAAATATTATAAGTTAAAATTTGAGAATTTAGTCTCCCTTAACCTAGTGACCATCAGTAAGCCAAAAAGGCCCTGAGCGTTTTGATATATCTTTAATGTTGTGAGGATTTTGTCTTGAATTCAATCTTCAGATTCAACCTTGTAATTCAATCATATAAATCCTTCATAACTCCTTCACAAGATGAAGTCTCAATATTATCATAATGGAGCTCTAGGTTTAAAAGTAGTCGGCCACATGCAAAGGTTGGTGAAGTTGATAATGTCCCGTCAACTTGAGTGCGTAGAGTACATTTCTTCAAAAGGTATCTTGTAGAATGTAGGATGTCACCTTTCTTTACTCCCTCTTCTATGGTCACTTAGATTCACTCCATTCTTGAGAAATAATCATCTTTCTTAAGTTATTTCTTTGCTTATGGAATTGATCAAACGTGATGAAAGATGTCGTAAATCTAGTGACTGTTGGCCTATGCAAATTTCTTTGATTTTTGAACCTTTTCATCATGTTCACAAGAGAAATGTGACTATAAATATTCATTCATGAACATGCACTTTTTTAGTGCATTCTTCGCCTTTGAAATTTTTTCAATATCCTCCAACATTAGATCGATGCAATATGTCGCACATAGATTCTAATAAAGATTTAGTATTGTGGCCATTAACAATTTTCCTATAAGTTAATAAAACAATCAATTAAACTCAAAATATTTCAATAATAAAGTAATTTGACTAAAATAAAAAATAAAAAAATTAAATAATTCAAATTTCTTATCGGCTTTGACATAATTAGATGCATTATCTGTTACCACTTGGATCACATTTTTCTCGTCTACTTCCTCCACCATGTCATTAAGAACTTTAAACAACATGTTGACATCCTTAAAAATCTCTGAAATATCCATAGATTTAATGAACATCATCCTCTTTGGAGAGTTGACAAGGAAGTTCACAATATCCTTTTGGGCCACCGAATCACACCATTCATATGATAAATTGAAAACCCTTTTAGTGCCCATTATATTTTGTGATCTTCAATAATCTTTTGGGTGTCGTCCACTTCTTTCTTAAAGAGAGAAACTCTAAGCTCATGTATAATTGGTGGTTTCAATATGAGACTATATGTGTCCAATACTTGCACACATATTCTTAGGATAATTGCGGTATTAAATGCAATTTCGTCATCATAAAAAATCTAGTAATCGACACACAAGTTCTCTCCCTTAATTATTTATCACAAGGTGCATGCACACCTCCATCTTTATTTGGATTAGCTCTAGGAGAAGAAACGAACAAATCCATTTGATCCTTAAGCCTGGATTTTTTGGGTAATTATCTCTCACTCTCTTGACTTGAATTACCGCCACTTGTGTTCAATATCTCAAATTGTTCTTCCTTTTTTATCATAATCATCTATATCATGTAAAGATTCTTGAGATATATAATTAAATTTTATGCATTTGCCTCAACCTTCTTCGTCATAAAATCCTTCACATTTTCCCTCAAATGTTCAGGACATTTAATGTATTCAGTTACATTTTTTAATCTTCCAACTAAATGTTGTTTCATTCGTTGCACCCCTCCTTTAGTAATCTTTCCTCAAAATTCACATGCAAAATTGTTCTTATTTGTAGGATATGGTTTTTCATATTTTCTTGTTGGATTTAAATTACCCGTTGATCCAGTAGAAGCTTACCCTGAATCTATTTTTCAACAAGTTACAATTTAAGAAAATATAAATAAAATTCATTAAATATAAATTGGGA